ATATATATATATATATATATATATATATATATATATATATATATATATATATATATATATATATATATATATATATATATATATATATATATATATATATATATATATATATATATATATATATATATATATATATATATATATATATATATATATATATATATATATATATATATACAAACATATAAAGACAAAAGATAAAGCGAGAATGTAAATTTACGCTATTACAGAGCTTTGTGAGAGTTACATAATTAGAAAAATACGGGGATGTAAATCTAAACTATGTGACCTATACAATTGTTTCTAGGAATTTAAACGTAAAAATGAATAAAAATGTAAGAAAGATTATTTTTTAAAGTCCTAAAATCTAAAATATTAGAAAACAAATTTTCGGGAATTAATTTGTGACCTGTTTTTGTTGGTAAACTCGTCCTATTTCGAGAATTCATACCGCCTGGTCATATAGATAGTTTCCCTGTCCTGTTTCGGGAATTAATCTGCGACCTATTTTTTTGTTGGTAAACCCATCCTGTTTCGGGAATTCATACCGCTTGGTCATATAAATAGTTGTCTTGTTCTGTTTCAAGAATTAATCTATGACCTGTTTAAAAATTGCTTATGATATTCGTCTGCGAACTTTTCCTGAAAAGACAAAATTAGATTTATGGAATGTCATGATAGATGTAATGCATTGTGTAATGATCCTATCAAAATGAATGAGAATGTCATATGCGTTTCAGTATGCATATGCTATGATGTATTGTGAAATGATGTATGAACATAATATATCGTTGAAGCATATCAGTAGCTCCCTGTAACAATGTCTAGCTGGGAAAATAAGTCACAAGTTGTTGTTGGGGATGAAGAAAGTGATTCTTCAATTTATGCTGGGAACAATTTTGCTGGGGATTCCTGCTTTTTGTTTGAGGATATTTCGCTGGGGATCTTCGACTCCTGCTTCAGGATAAAAGCATTCAAAGAGAGTCGGTTGTTCGTCGTTCTTTTTGTTGAAAGATTTGATTCTTGCGTATCCTGATTAAGGATAAAAGAGACGGATATTCCTCTTGTGTGCTATATGTCCAGGTTTCATATACCGTAGCAACTTTTTCGGGGATAACAACTTTGATTAAACCCTGTTGGAAAAGAGAATTTTGTTAGGGATTTACGGTGTTGGAGTAATAAATTCCGCTGGGGAATTAAATTCATGTAAAGAGGAAACAAACTCTGATGGGGATTAGGATTGTATAGGCTGCACTGAGGAAGTCTCCACTGTATGCTGGGGAAATGATCAAACAACTTTATCTGTTAGGGGACCTATCGGGGATGATGATCAGGTCAAGCTATCCATTAGGGATATGGAGGTGAACTGCTGGAAGATGTCCCAATTTCTGCCTGAGGGCATATTAGACTTGTTGGGGAATATATCTATGTCGGGGATGAGCTTGTGAAGATAGCTCTGTAGATATATTTCCATGGAGATTGCTTTGTGGAGATTTGTGGATAACTTTGAACATTATCCCAACTCCTAAAGTGATAAATGTTATATTGGTAAACAAGTGATGAGATAACAAGACATAGTTGTACGCTTTAACCCCTAACTTTTTCCTGAACTGTCTTTTCAGATATTCATTCCACCGGGATACCCCTTTTTGCCCAAACCACCTTCTCAGGTTTTCGACTTGTCGGGTGTACAATTTTATTTATATGTCCCTAATTTTTGCCCGAACCCTTTTGGTTCGTCAGGATGCCCTTATTTTTTCCTAGGCCAATCAACTTAGCGGGTCTCTTTTTCATGCGTAGTATTTTTGACTATGTGCGTGTTCACACGGCGTGGGGAATTTTCATTTTTCATGGTAGTAAGTGTTGTAGCACTGCCAGAAAATATTTTCTTGATCATACGTGGCCCTTCATATACGGGAGTCCATTTGCCCCTGGGATTAGTCTGGTGTACCCGATGTTTGAATTTATTGATCAACATTGATTACCAGGTTCTGATAGTCTTGACCTTCCTCGGTATTTTTCTAAGAACTGCCACGGCAGAATGACACCATTTGATACTGCTGACATAGACAAGCAATTTGGTGATACCGAAGATTCAGTTTTCATAGTGGCTTTTGCTGTAACTCATGATCAATGTAACATGCCCCAAGTGATTCATATGGAGATATGCCCCTGGCTATTCAACACTTTTGAGATATTCTTTAAATCTTGACTTCACTGCCATAGATGAGTTGGATAATAACATGTCATGCCCCTTGATTTATAACCAATTGTGTCCATGAAAGGGCTGTTTTTGTAAGTGTCTTTCTCTTTGACCCATCCTCTGAAGTAATTTTGTCCATTGGGAGGATTTTCATTCATTGAATATTCGTCATGCGAATTTCTCTGCTGTCAAACACTTAGTCATATGTAAACAATGGTATTAAAATGCAAAGCTTATGTTTATCTTGAAGTTTAAAAAATGCATTTTTTAGTAAAACAAAATTTGTAATAATGTGATATCAACTCAGGATTTATAGTAAGCCTTACAGGAGTCAAGATACCTTTTTGTAACAATATATTTTCGAACTAACTCATGCTTCAGTTAGGACTTTGAAGGGTTGTAACGCGACCTGGTTCACGGTTTAAGAAACAAAGGATAAAGGATCAAAGTTTATTTGTACCCAACTCGTTCTCCATGATGTCCTTCAGTCCTATACTTAGTTAATTATGCATTTAGGTTCCAATAGAGTTTGGAATTATAGCACTAATACTTGGTGATGGTTCAGAAACCAGAAGTTTATTTGAGAAGGTATTCATTTTTTCTTGTAACATATTTCTTTTGTTGAGAATTTGTAGGACCTATTTTTGACTTTATTTCCCTAACTTTTTTCTGAGCTGTTTTGTTTGAGATTTCAGTCAGCGGGATGCCCCAGTTTTTCCCCTAAGTCTCCTTCATAGGTTCGACTTAGCGGGCTTTTCTTTTGAAAGATAATGATTGCCCGACTTAATGATTACGGGGAACCACCATTGACTTTTTATTTGGAAGGATGTCTTAGATACTACCTATTGTGTACGAAGGAAAATCTTGCGATTGAATGCACAATTGAATTAAATGAGAAACTACCCTGCCCCAGGTTATGATTAAGGGTTTCAATTTGCGTGAAAAATAAAACTCCTACTTCTTAGGCTCAAAGGGGTTGACTAGAGATTAACTTCCTTATATCTCCACTGTTTAGGAATTGAAACAATATTTGTACATCGCCAGTAAGGTCTGTTCAAAAGCATATTGTATGAGATTATGGTATCATTTTCGTCATCCTCCCTCTAAAGACTTATAACTTTTAACGAGAGTTGAATATCACAAAAAGGAAGTAAAAAGCACAGTTTAAATATAGTGAAAATGAATGGATTAATTTAAGACCAATATATGCAATGCATTAATGGAAAAAAAAATAAAGTTTGACATAAAAATAAGTGTTCGAACAAATAAAAGAAATTACAACTGAAAATTCAAATGAAGTGAACGCTCTTATCTTAGTCATGATTTGGCATGGGAACAATGATCACATTAGGAGTCTCAAGAGGGTCAAACTTAAACTCCTTAACATCAATCATATCTTGAATCTTGTTCTTCAACGTTCAACAACCATTTGTATCATGTCCAGGACTATTAAAATGGTATGTACACCTTGCATTGGGATGATAGCTAGGAGCGGAAGTATTGAGATTCCGAGGAGGATCCTTCAACGTGATCAACTATGCCTTCAACATGTGTTGCAATGCTTGAGCCAATGACACGTTGATTTTGGTAAATTGTCTTTTGGGTGTATCCTGTTTACGCTGATTACCCTGTTATCATTGTTGCACTGGTGTAGGGTTAAAGATTAGTACTGCCCCTACAGATTGGTTGTGGTCTCTCTCTTATTACGACCCTTCTGGCCGTACACAAAATTGGACTCTTTCTTCCTGTTGTATGACTTTTTCTGAGTATCGGAAGAGGTAGGCACCTGGATTTTACCACTTCTTAATATGAAGAGATATAAATTTGAAAATGAAATGCATTATAATAAAAAGAAAGGGTTAAATATGTTTTTCATCCTTCTAAATATCTCAAATTACACTTTTAATCCCTATTAAAAAAAATGACAAATTTTGGTCCTTAAAAAATTTTTGTTCATCCAATTTTAGTCCCTGTTATTTTCTAAAATTTTAAAAACTGTTTAATTACCCATAAACTTTTCAATTTTTGAATAATATTTTACATACATGTTTAGAATACTATAAAATGTTTCTTTATAAAATTTTAGAATTTTTTAAAATGAGAAGAATTAAATATGATTTTTTTAAATTTCAAAAGATATTGATAAAAATAATAAAAATCTCGACTTAAAAATCAAATTTTGAATTTCTTTTTTTCCAAGAAACTTTTTATAACGTTCTAAACATGTCTACAAAATAATCATTCAAAAATACACATTGATTTAACAATAAGGACTAAAACTACGTGCATAATAATTTTGTAGAGACTAAAATTTGCTATTATTTTAATAAGAACTAAAAATAAAATTTGAGATATTTATAGGATCAAAAACATATTTAACCCTAAAAAATATAAAAATTAAAAAAAAATAATATATAACTTACACATCAGCAGTATTTAATATAAAATGCATAATAGTGAAATAATAATAAAATTAGACTCTTTTAATCCTGAAATCATAAAAGTTTAAACTAAAAATCCTAAAAATCAAAGGAGTTAACTTAAAATTTCCAAGTATTTTAATTTTTATAGATAAATAATAGATATCTATATTATATCGTTTAGAGTAACAAATCAACATTACATAAAAAATAATCAATGCTAAGATAAAAACTAAAATATAAAAAAATATAAAAAATATGACAATCTAAATTTATATAAAGATAGTTCTGTATCTTATACTTATTTTGGTGAATTCATTGAATTGTTCGGTCTTATTCAAAAAATTATCTAGCCAACTCTCAGGTTCCATTGTGAAATGAGTTGTCAATGGAACAAACAACCAAAAGCACACGTAGCTGTTGCAGCAACTCAACAACACACTTCTCAAACTCAAGCTCCCACATCCAAGAAGAGACCTTTCGACTCTCTTTCCAATTCGACTTCCAATTACTTCAAGATTCGTGCCCTAATTCGTGACCTTCGCCCCCATTTCATCCAGGTACCTACATATTTAATTTGTGTGAAAAAGATTCTACCTTTCTCTTCTTTTCTCCGTTCTAGACTCTTGTTCATATCAAATTTGTAATCTTTTTAGATGTTTCAACTTTTTCATTTTTCTTTTAGATTTAGGGCTGATTTTTTGTGAAAAAGATTCTATCTTTTTGTTCTTTTCTCCATTGTAGAGTGTTGTTAATATCAAATTTAATATGTGTGTGCTTACCAATGTTAGGGATTTTATTAGAGATTTAGGGAATTTCCATTGGTTGTTGTCAATAACATGTAAGTATGACAAGTTATAAGGAGTTCTAACAAGTTATGGACCTAGTAAGATAGTTAGGTTTTTCTAATCTCTTTTTATGGTTTAGCATTGGCAGTGTATTGATTTTATGCTATGAGAGACCTAGGTTTGTTGAGTTTGGATACATGGATTGTGAACTTCTTTTTACTAGTTGGATAAAGAGTTGGTTTATTTTGGTATGATTTAAAGGAATTGATTGAAAAGATAATGGAATTTGAGTGTGGTGTGCTTTCTAGAAGTAGAACCAATTTAAGGAAATCAAGATATATGCGTTATATTGTTGAAATAAAATGGTATTTTCTTAAGGAAATCAAGATTTATGCGTTATATTGTTGAAATTAAATGGTATTTTCTACGGGCCTTCCACGGGAGTCTTATCAAATTGCGGCGCCATGGCCGCTATGGTGGTTATACATGGCGGTTTTTAGGCTCGCCGCAATGGTAAATATCAGCCGATATTGCAGGTTTTTCCACCATAACATGCCGTATGGCGGGATTTTGTCTCTCTATCATGGACCGCTATCTGCCATCGACAACACTGTTCCATGGCCATACTTTGCTAAGAGATGTATCCTAAAAATGAGTAAGGTACTAAGGCGGGAAAAATAATAATTGGGTGATTGGTTGAGTTGAAATCTAGTGTTAGAACGAACTAGGGTTTTTCGACACAACACTTTTCAGTGGCTTCCCAATCACAACCTGTGGTTTTCCAGCCTATGTAGTCAGTGGCGGATTGGGGAACGTTACAGCCAGGCCCCAAAACGCTATTGCCTATTGCGGTGAAGTGGGTGGCGGTATGACCGCTAGCCGAAGCTTAGCGAACAAGACAAACAGTTTATGATCATACACATATAAGAGATCGAAAATAGAAGAATACACAATTAAATACATATTCATAGATCATAGATAACATTCAAAGTTCTGTTACTTATTTTCAAAACTGATAGAAAGCAAGAAAGAAAATATGCAGAGAGAAGGGATGGGTTTTGTTGGAAAGAGAACAGAAGGGCTACTATTTTTTCTGTGCAGAAGTGAGAAAGTGACGTTGTTGGGGTTTATTTTCTCCAAGCAGACTCTATTTTTTGGGATACAAAATGTCCAAAAAAATGGCTATTAAATAATGGTATTTTTGGGTTTTTATTTCATCTTCAGTGTTGTGGCTGGTGCATCCACACTTTGGCCGCAATTTGGGGTGCTATGGCCACAACCTAGAACCCAATGTCTAAATCTGTACTGTAGTGCCTTGCCTCCGCTGCTGTTAAATGCAGCCATGGCACCTCCTTGACAGAATGTTGTGGCAGGGTTTTTTGATGACTGCCATAGTCAATAGTCAATATGTGAAGAGTACCCACCATAGGCCACAAAAGCGAGTTTATACGGCAAACTTTTGACCTTATTCCATGTTCTGTCATCAACAACACCGCCTGCCGCTGCTATGCGATGCTGCGTTCGCGGTCACTGCAGGTGCAATTAAGTACGTAGTTTCAGGCCAGCTCCCTTGAGTACAGAGGAAAAATAAAGATTCAAGAAGAAGAAAATAAATAGAAAATTATGGTCCCGTTTCCTTTGTTAATTATTTAATAAATTGAATTTATTATTTATAGTTACACGCCATACCCTTGTTCTAGTTTCAGGTTTGGCTTTTCGGGATTAACAACATAGCATATATTATATATTTCTTATTCACAATGCTAAGCTAGTTGATCTCTTTTGCCTCAATTTATAAAAATAATTGATGAAATCTCTATTAGACATGAAGGTGAGTAACCTTGAAACCTTTTTTTGTATAACTCTTTATTATCATACACGGAAATGGAAGGCAAGCGGGCAACTAGTTGCGCTGCTACCCAATAAAGAGAGGAATCTTGAAAACTTTGATGATTCAAAATCTTTAAGGCAAGTAGAAAACAGTGAAGAGCATCAGCTGAACAGAGCAAATTAGTCCATGCTTGCATATTGGGTAAATAAGTAACCTTCAAATGACAACTAGTTGAAACTCATAAAGTGTCTAAAAAGACCCTCAGAAGGAAAAAAAAAAACTAGTCTTTCCTCGGCCTCAAAGCCCGGAAACTCCAAAATAAATGGGTTAAGTATTTGTGTTGGATGGATACGCATCATAACCGATACTCCTAGGATACTCTCGAATGTGACTATTCTTACAAGTTTTTTGTGACACTTTTTTTAACCATTTAATTTTCTACATTTTGAAAGGGAAAAAAATCTCTCCCCCATAAACATAGAAAATCTCCTCATCCTCCTTTCGGCATTACAGCTCCTGTGTTTATGTTGATGTCAAACATATTTTGGTTTAGATGAAAACCCTATAATTTTTGTTATGATCACAGGTATCTTTTCATAAACTGTGATCATAATAGTTATATATTAACCATAATATATATCTATAATGATCACAGTTAATCTATGAAGTCGTTTTGTTGGGGCTGATAAGAATATGTATTGAACTATTGAAAGATGTCTCTAATAGTTCAAGTTTACTCGTCATATCATTCCTTTTATCTTGATTCATTGAATGATTTTTTTGTTGCTAAAAATTCTATAACAAGTGCCTAATAATTGCGGTTTGATCTTGAAGATTCTCCAAACTCCTGACTACAAAAATTGCAAGGCGTCACATGAAATTCGAGACAGTAAGTTAACTAACTTATCAATTCATAATTCAAATCACATAGCAGTTATACTCCTGACATATTGAATATGGCATTAAAAATGTAGCTGCATGTAACCATGTTCTTGTTGATTACATTTTCTTCATGTTTTAAGTTTCTTATACTTATAGATTAGGTAGTATAAACTATATTTGTTTGTGTGGTTGCTTGAATTGTAATATGATTTTGGCTTGTAATTGCAGAGCTGAAAACCGTGCTCAAGGTATACAATGATCTGAAAGCAGATGTAGCTTCAGTAGGGAAGCAGCAGCAACCTCAACGTTTCAAGTCATCGGAGCAAACTCATGTAGAGAAAACATTTGCCCGTCCATCTGTGGCTGAAGTCAGTCAGACATCGAGCACATACGTTATTGGAGGATCAGCTTTTGGCTGGAATTTCATCACTTTTCCAGTTGCCAATTCCGTCTATTATGGTAGGACGAAGGAACAATTTCGATCAGATAAAATGACCGAGTAATTCTTTGGTGCCATGGCATGATAAAAGAGTTACTACCCCCGTGCAACCTGTCTGTCCATTAGAACACCTATTCATTCAACCAAAAGTATTGTGTATCAGGTTTCTTAAACTTACCATTTTTTGGAAGTCCTTCTGGCACAGCGTCGGTTAAATTTTTACTATTAGTTGAACTTCATTTTGAAAGCAAATCATATGATTTTTTTTATATACAAATTTACCGAAAGGTTTTATCTTGTATCCTATGCAAGTTATGTTGCTCTTTTACTATGAACTCCTATTATACCATAGTAGGGCCATTTTAGTAGTTTTGTTATTTACACTATACTTTCTTTCTTTATCATTTCCGCCCTCACAGTGCTCAAATTAGCTTTTGCACCTTTCCGGAACTGACGCTTTCCAAATCATCATCCACTCCCTATCTTAAACTTCTTCCTTAAAACCTTCAAGCTCTTGATACATAACTTTCATCAAAAACTTTCCATGTCCAGTACCTGCAAAATAGAAAATGTCAGGAGATTGCCCTAAGCAAGGTGGCACACAAGCCCTCAGCTTACCTAACTACTGTTCCGGTAGCCAAGAATTTAAGATACTCATATTCCACTCGCCTCCCTCATTTACTAAGTCGCAAACTCTAGCTCCGCAAAGATCATTAGGAATATGCACCTCCATGTTGTTCACAATATACTCATGTCCTAGCCAATTATCCTCCAATGCATTAACACTTCTCCCATCTCCTACAACCCATCTTCCCATTTCCAGCATTATAGGAATTGTTTTAGAGATGTATTTCGATAGACTAGAATCCAAGGGCCTCAACTTCAAACAATCCGCAATTTCTGTTCCATTATATTTTCTCCTCATAATAGTACACCAAAGTTCATTTAAATTTGAATATAATTTCCAGCTCAACTTCATCAAACAAACATCATATAGGATATTGAGATCCCTTAAACCGACTCCTCCAAACTGCTTCGGTCTAATGATAGTATCCCACGCCACAACATGGATCTTCCTTTTCTCATCGATTTCCCCCCAAACAAACTTTCGCTAAATGCCATGAATTTCATCAATACATTTTTTCGGGAGCTTATTTGTCATCATCGGTAATCGGTATCGCCTCAATAATGCTTTTAGCAAGAGTAATTCTTTCAGACAAAGAGAGGTTATTCTTCTTCCAACTATTAAGCTTGGTCGCAACATATTAAAAATCATTCTTCCTTAATCTATTACTATTAAGAGGAACTCCAAGATATTTGCCAAAACATTTCATATGTTGAAACTTTGATAGATTCAACAACTTTAACTGCATGCTTCTTGTGACATTATTGGAGAAAAGAATGTTGGTTTTTGTCTTGGCTAACCTCTTGCCTTGACATTCATAAAAAAAATATCAAGAGTCTTTATAACACAAATCATCTGTCTTTCAGTAGCCTCACCGAAGAATAATAAGTCATCAACAAACATGATGTGTGATTATCGACTGACTCCACAAACCAACACAGGTCTTTCCAGCATGGTTTATCCTCACTCACACGCTTTCTGAGAAACTTCCCAAAAGGCCACTCATCCCAAAATTGCTCCTAGTCAAGCACGCTCAATTATGGAGTTTTTATGGAACAGGCTACTGAAAAGAAGATGCATCTTATTGGTATAGGTAGTACCAATCAATCCTTAAAAGCCTTCATTCAACCATGTAGTCTCTTCCCTACATAGCCTTAAGATCCCTCTCATTCTGATGTGACAACCACTCCTCGCCCTCTACGGCCTTGAGTGTTACATGTTATGCAACTACCCTCCCTCTCTACGACCTTGAGTGTTACATGGGGTGCAACCACCCTTCCCCCTCTCCGGGCTCGGGTGTTAGATGTCCACCAGCTTCTGCATGGTTTATCCCCGATCCACATCGTACTAGGAGAGATATGCTCTGATACAATTTGTAATACCCCAGACTGCCTTTAGAATTACCGACTGACCCCACAAATCAATACAAGTCTTTCCAGGATATTTTATCCTCACTCACACGCTTTCTGGGAAACTTTCCAGAAGGTCATCCATCCCAAAATTGCTCCAAGTCAAGCACGCTTAACTGCAGAGTTCTTATGGAACGAGCTATCGAAAATAAGATGCATCTTGTTGGTATAGGTAGTACCAATAAATCCTTATAAGCCTTTCTTAAACCTTGCAGTCTCTTCCCACAGCCTCAAGATCCCTCTCATTCTGATGTGGCGACTACTCTTCGCCCTTTTCGACCTCGAGTGTTACATCCGGTGCAACCATGCTCTGCCCTCTTCGGTCTCGACTGTTACATGTGACACCTTAATACCTTGCTTGCCGAGTTTAATAGCTTTCCACCTATTTTGACCAACTTTCTCTTCAATCAAATGCGAAAGCTTATCCATGCAAACAACAAATAAGTTACAATGATATCAGATCACCCTACCTAATACCTCTTTGAAGAGCGGAAAATAATAAATATTAATAAAATTTAGGAGAAAAAAAATAAACAACTTACTATTTCACACTAAAAGGAGCAGCTTTATGGCGTCCACCCTTTTTTTGTAATAGGCCTCGAGACCCACAAAATATTTATAGAGGTATTTATAAATTATCCGAAATTTTCACATCAATAATTAAAATTGAACCCACAATCTAAATATACTAACATATTTTGGCGATGCTCATTATCTTTGATTCAAATTCTTTTATATAAAATTAAGTTACATAAAAAAAAAATACTCATCAAATTGTGTTATCAATTCGACATAGATTAACTAGACAACTTATACAATACACCTCTTTACTCAATTACTTATCAAATTAATATTTTTGGAACGAATTGACATCCATAATACTTTTAAGGGGTCACATATTCGAATTCTATTAGGTACTAACAATTCTCATATTAAGTCCTTAATACAAAATTTTATTATGATTTTACACAAAATCCATGCTAATAGTCAGTAAGATTAATCAATTATTTAGTTGTAAAATGAGATATCGATATTTAAAAGAAAATGTATGACGATAAACATCTAAACAAAAGAATATAATTAGATTGAAGACAAAAATTGAAACCCACAAACATTTCAACCAATTTCACACTTTTAGCTAAATTAAATTAGTCAGATGAAGGAAATTTATTTTAATTTAATTAATTAGGTATGATTTAGTGGGAGCAAAAATGAAAGAGGGGAAAAATAAAAATAATATATTTTTAACATGTTGAAATTATTATTTATTACATAATTATTTATTAAATTCAAATGTAACGGAAAATGATTAATAGTTAAAATAATTATGAAGATATTGTTTTATTAATTAATTAAAAGAAAGTGGGATATAGTGGAGTAAAAATTATAATGTAATGGAAATAATGATTAATAATTAAAATAATTAAAAAAATATTATTTGTTAAAGAATTAAAAGAGTTAGTAAGATATAGTGAAATAAATATTAATAAATAAATAAATAAATAAAAGAAAAGGAAATAAAAAGAAAGTTACTTTTCAATTTTGGCTAAAAAATATTATTAATTAATTAATTAAAAAGTTAGTTGGATATATATATATATATATATATATATATATATATATATATATATATATATATATATATATATATATATATATATATATATATATATATATATATATATATATATATATATATATATATATATATATATATAAGAAAAGGAAAAGAAAATTACATAAATACATTTAATTTTGATGTTAAATTTACTAAGTGACTTAACCATTTTTATATATAAAATAATATTTTAATATTGTTTTTGGCTCTCACTAGAATCCAAATTTGTTTTCTTTTTCGAAGAAAAAAATCACTTCCCAATAATTAAAAAAAAAACCCTAATATCAACAACGACTTTACCACCAAAAATCTGCTTCCGTGATAAGTTGATTAGAACAATACAAATTCATATTGTTGAAGAAAAAAAAGACATAATTGTCAAAAAAGAAAGAAAGAAATTCACATAGAGTTTGAAAATGGAAATCGGCTTTTGCTTAAGGTTTATCTTGATATCATTGTTTTTAGAGATATGTGTACTCCATGGACTGATGATGTTTTCTTATATTGCTGGATAAAAAATCGAATACAACACGATGAAGGAGAGACTTCTTAGAGTTTGAAAGCAACGCGAAGATGGATAATTATAATGAAACTCGTTAATGTATAAGTTTAAGAATAAAAAAGGAAATAGAATATATTTATGAAAACAAAAAGAATGACTGCCGTAAAACTGTAAGAATGAATTAATTGGAATGACATCTAGTATTAGTCTATTTATACGTATAAATTAAAGTCACATAAGCAACATACTAAAATGTTAAATTTTCCTTCAATACCGTTTCTTAATTTAGAATTTCTTAATTAAAAATTAAAAACACCAATTTCATCCCTTAAGTGGAGAAATTGATCCGTTTTGATCGCCTTTATCAGAATATCTGCCAACTGCTTCTGGGTGCTACACTCCACAATTTTTAGTACTCTGTTCTGGACTTGACTTCTTAGAAAGTGATACTTTGTCTCAATATGTTTGCTTCTCCCATGTAGTACTGAGTTCTTGGCGAGATTGATTGCAGACTTGTTATCAATCATCAGCTTCAAAGGCTTATTTATCTTGATCTTCATATCTTGCAATAGATTCAGAAGTCACACAACTTGACATACAACTACAACACCTGCAATGTACTCAGCTTCACACGTTGATAGTGCAACAACAAGCTGCTTCTTGGAACACCAAGAAATATGATCTTCCAGAAACTTAAACAAATATTCAGAAGTACTTCTTCTATCAACTATATCTCCACACTAATCAGAATCAGAATAACTCATCAACTCTGAATATGTGTTACTTTCGGAAGGGAATAATACTCCATACTTCAGAGTTCCCTTGCTACACCTCAGAATCTTGACAGCAGCTTGGTAATGGGACCACTTAAGTTTACTCATGAACCTACTAACCATTCCAACTGCATAGC